AATATATATATAATATAAAAGTTTAAAGTGGTCTTAAAGTTTTCTTTAAAATTTAAAATATAATATAATATATATATATATATATATATATATATATATATATAATCAAAAAATTTAAATTTAATATATATATATATATATATATATTAATTTAAATTTTTATTTAAAAAAAAACAGACCACTTTAAGGGTCCATTGTAATAGTTTATTTATTGCTGGATCATTAGACATCACTTCCAAAAGGTGGAACGAAAAATGAAATGAAAATTTACTCTTTTGACGTGTAGTATTAAGTTTATGTAATTTAACAGAGAGGGTAGCGAGGAGTGGCGTGAGAAACATGGTCGAGTTTTAATATATATATATATATATATATATATATATATATATATATATATATATATATATATATATAAAAAAAAAACAGTAAGATATATAATCCGATGTTCTTATAGATATTTTTTATTTTACAAAATAATGCTCAATGTAAATTTACAGAGCATTAATATTACAAATTAATTGATTTAAAAATATTTTTTTCGCTACACAGTTCTAACCATGTTTCAAAAAATGGAAGCGAATTCGCTAGAGTATGAAATGGAACTAATGTCTTTAATTTAATTACAAAATTAAATTCGGGGCTTTTAGCTTCCATTTTTGAAACATGGTTAGAACTGTGTAGCGAAAAAACATATATTAAATCAATTAATTTATAATATATATATATATATATATATATATATATATATATATATATATATATATATATATGGGCGCGTGGCCGACTGGTTAAAACGTTCGCATTCTGACCATGAGACCTGGATGTGAATCTCACCATATAAAGTCGATTTTATCGGTCTGATGTTATAGGTTTAGAGGGGCCGATCCCAGCGTGCGGCCACTTTGGAAAGTGCCTGAAAACCATACCCCATATTGGCCCAAGCCTTGTGAGTGAAATTGGGTAGACGGAACATAGTGACCGAGGAGAGACTGGTATGTGCTGGTGTTGTTCAGATTGTTGATCACGCTAGATAACACGCTCTCTCCCAGAAACTGTAACAGCAATGTTGCAGTATAATCCACAGGTGGGCTCTGTGGGTGTTGAACAAACACAAATGTGCCTGAGAGAGAGTCTGCAATAGGGATTGGTTAGACGCCCTAGTAGACGGGTATCCTCAAATATGTGTGGCCAGGTATTTTATATATATATATATATATATGAAGAAATATAGTCTTAATGTGTGCTATATTTATGGGATAAAGTGCTCAATATCAGAGATAGAGCGTGTATGAATATAAAAGGGAACATAGAAGTCAACACTTAGAAGCGACAGTCTGTTTCATGCTAGATGCAATCGTCAGGCCACGTGTTATTTTTCTACTATTTATATATATACGGAAAACAGTGCATTGTGGGTAGTCTATTATGGCGGTTATTTTATTATAATTTAACCCAAATAAATAAATAAACGACTTCCGGTAAAATAACCGCCATAATAGACTACCCACAATGCACCACTGACCCGTATATATAGAAGACCCGTATGAAGATGGAACCGAGCTTACTTTAATTCAATTTTATTCAAATAATTATATTGAAGTTTTCGGCCCTTGTTTTGAAACATGAGACCTCTTATGTAGCGTGTTGGAATCATATTTTTAAATAAATAATTATATTTATGCTCTACTTTTGTATCGAGCACTATTTTTAAAAAATAATAACAAAAATACTAAAGAACTTTGTATTACTTACCTAAAGAGTTCTTTCCTATTTTCTATATATTTCCCCTCCCCATATATATATATATATATATATATATATATATATATATATATATTGTAAATAGTGGCTTTCTTTCTCTCAGATCACAGAAAAGCTGGTAGAATTTGGATATTTTGCGAGAAAGCTGAAGACATTGTAGAATATCAAGCTGTCACGGTATTTATCTATACAGGGTGTAACAGCAAAATTGTCCAAATCCTGTAACAACATAATTGTCCGTCCCAATATCTAAAAAAAAAAAAAAAACACTAAACTGAGTTTCTTTTAGTTTAGTTATCTTGACACCATTTGTCGCAAGAATCACTAAAAGACCCTTTGAGATATTTACCTAGAATAGACCAGGTTTAAATCATTTTGTGTCAGACCCACCGTCTTCCTAAATGAGCAACGGTAAGAGGAAGAAGATCATTCAGGCCTTCAGTCATGGTACCAACATTCACACTCTGGCTTCCATCTTCGAAGTCCATTCAAGAACCATCACGAGAACAGTGAATAAAACTTAAAAAAGAGCGGATATTAGAGAGGAAAACTCTATCAGGAGGTCACAACGGGAAGAGGGATCATCGTTTCAACTCAGAGCTAATGAGATCAATTAGAAAAGATCCAACTCAATCCATAAGACATTTGGCACATGAGAGAAGAGTTTCATCTATGGAAGACCAAAAAGCAGTGAAAAAAATACTTGAAAATGAAATCGTACGTGAAACTTGTGAGGCATTTTGTTACTCAAGGACAGAAATTTAGAAGGTTAGAGAGGGCGAGATCATCTTGATTAAGTTGTAAAATGATCCTGAATATATATATATATATATATATATATATATATATATATATATATATATATATATATATATGAACTTTATATCAATACTTCATGAGCTTCCAATCTTAGCGATGATTAATTAATGATGAACATGTCATTTTCGTTTATGATCGATTTCACCACAATTCTTGTTAAGCTTGGAGAGTAATTATACATTCTGATGGCAGCATTACTAAAATCAATCTTGGCTACTGAGACTTGCTGTCACTGGATTTCCATTAACAATCACCAATTACTAATGGTTTGAAAAACAATTATTAATAATAATAATAATAATAGTAATAATAATAATAATAATAATAACTTGTATTCGTAACAATTTCACGGTTTTGCCATTTGAATTTTTTGATGAATCAAAATTAATGGTTGAATAATTTGCTTGTGAATTCCTCTACTATAAAATACCCGTGGAAATTCCCCTATCACATCGTTAAATATTTGAGCTTAACAACTTTAACAAAACACTACAATAACAATCATAAGTATGAATGAAGGTTATTATTTACAGATGTAAGAGGGTACAAATGTAGAGATTCAAATTTTTTAAGTTTTTCATTTCACCAAAGCAGACGTGAAACACATGGGAGCGTTATTGTTTGTTTGTTTGTTTGTTTGTTTCCTTCCTTCCTTCCTTCCTTCCTTCCTTCCTTCCTTCCTTCCTTCGTTTCTTTCTTTCTTTCACAGAAACCAAAGTGCATCTCCGATAAGTATTTACCGTCTTGCCTTGCAATCAAAACGGAATAGCCCATTATTTCTGAGGTGCTGACGGCATAACGTACATGATAACTAAGAAAGAAAAAGTAAACTACTACTACTACTACTAATAATAATAATAATAATAACGCGTTGAAGGCTCTCATGGATTCCGATCCTAATTGATAAGAGGTGTTAACATGTGCATGTTTGCAGAGTTTCCCAAATCTCTGTGTTTGCGAATACTGCTTGTCTACCTCTCTGCCCGAAGGCAGAGAGGAACCCAGATGAGGCCATGCCGAAGGACAGAGTCTCGTCTGAGGAGATAGACAGTTACCCGACTCGGTGTCTATGGGGTCTACGGGGAAGCTTTGCCCGAGTCTATGGGCTCGGAACTCCCCACGTAAAAACCCGGCCTTGTGCCACATCACGCCTTGTGGGGAGGTAACGGGTAAATACTGTTAACACGTGCATGATAAATATAATGGACTACAATACAGGACCACAGATTTGCTTTCCATTGACGCACTGTGGATCTTTAGAGTGATTGGGCGCATTATAGCCGCGTGTCGATAGATTTTTTTTCTTCTTTGTTTTAAAGTTTAAAGAACAAGACATCCAAGTCGAGTTGGAAACACTTTCACTTGGAGACAGCATGAATGGACCGGGTTGCATGAGCTAAAGGTATTTTTAACTGTGGTCCACCAGCAAGATTCAGTGTTGCTTTTATCTGACAATCGATCGCACACAATTAGCTGCCAGGCACATGCATAACATATTTACTTTAGCTTCCATAGAAGAAATTAATTTACAATAAATGTACATAGTAAACTGAACCCCCTTTTATTAACTATTAACTTTTACAGAATTTAATGATAATCCTTTTTCATATT